GTCCCCCTCCCCCTAAAGAAGTCTTCGACCGCATTCCAAATCAATCATGTGCCAGAGGTCAACATGGGGGCGCCTGGCCTGGCGTTACCAAGCCGCCCCCCGTCGGAAGCCTCTGACCACGGTGGCGTTATCAATTCTTACCTGAAGCGGCGCCGTGCCGCGGCGCAACGCATTCAGAAAACCAGAAAGGTCAGCCCATAAAACGCGCTGGGCCTGGCGGACCCCTGGGACAGTCCCATGCATCGTTGAATGGACATTGCCCAGGTCATCAACAAACGCAAATCCCCAACCGAACGCTCTCAGCCCGAACCCCAACTCCAGATCCGCCCGAATCGGCAAATCCAGACAGAAGGGGGTCGTCCCCGAACTCGGGATCGAGGGCTTCGGCACTGGGCGCCACGTCCAGGAAGGGGTCTCCCAGCGGGTGGGGAACGATGGCCCTGGAGAAGAGGCGAGCGGAGGGGTCCGAGGTGGCAGCGCGATGGACGATCTCGGGAAACTCTTCTCCAGCAGCTGCGCGCTGCTCCTAAGAAGCTGGGCACTGGCCAGAACGGTGGTGCTGATCTTCAATCCCACGCCCGCATCTCTGGCAACTCCGATCGCCACAGTGGCCTGCCGTCGAGACTCTGTCCCGGGTCCAAAAATCACCACCCAGGAAGGCCAACATCGCTGACTGCTTCTGTCCAGATCCCTTCCTTTTGGAGCGAACAGCTGCGCGACAAGGCTCGAGGAATGGCTTGCGAAACGGCAGGCCGCGGATCGTAGCCCACTCGGTGAGCTCCTGATCCTCGAGCTGAAGGTAGATGTACTTGCGGAGGGTGCTGGGCGCCGTTCGGCGCATGTCCACCAGCTCTCCTGCGCGCAACCGATGTTTGTGCCAGCAGGGCCAGGGCCACCCCAGGCGCTGGAGCGTGAGGTTGCACACCGAGGCTGGTCCTCCGATCTGGCTCCAAGGGCGATCGAGCGGACGGCTGCGCCTAGCAGCTTCGAGAGACATCCCTCGGCGCCAGGCTCTGGCCATATCCAACTCATGGGTGCCCTTGCACGCCTGAGTGGCCCACATGCCTAACGGCTTCTGCGAGGCTTCTACCACTGGGTCTACCTGATGTGTCCTGAGCCTCAAGACTCTGTCGCGCCCTACGGCATGCCACCAAGACTCCCCCAGACCATGGTACACATCCTGGCCCGGGCAACAGGAGAGACACCTAGTCAACTGGATCCGTAGGTCACCGAGGGAATCACTCCTTGTCTAACAACACGGGACAGGCGGCCCCCATGCTTGGCTAGGGCTCTTAATGGTTTCTTGCGCTTGATGGCATACATGAAACGCTTCTGCATCTTATTTCGGCTCCTGGCCGCAGCGCCTCCAGCGCTGTCAACTCCCAACTGCGCGCTGGTAGTGGTGGTGGTGGTGGTGGTGGCAAGACCCAGATCCTCGGCCCAGGGCGAACAGCGTCCCCGAGCCACGGCCGAGGCGGCCAGAATGCACCCTTTCCCGCGGGCACCACGAGAGACAGGGATGCTCCAGGTACCTTCAATCTGGTGAATAATAAAAAGTGACCGCGGCCTGCAGCGTGGAAAGACACACGAGTGTACCACGCATTTGGGTGCTGAGGTCATCGACAACAAGCTTACTCTGAGGTCGGGATCCCCATGCCCGATGGATGGCATCCGCCACATGCAGCACAACCATCTTGAGCGCGCGAGTGCCTCCCATGGACCCTGCGACCACGGCCGACAAAGTGCGAAGCGTGCGGCTGGCACGCACATCTCTGAGGGCGACCAGCCTCGTGGAGGAGGAGATGCAAACGAGGAGCTTGGCCAGCTGCTGCGGGAAACCACACAGCGGGTCCACTGTCCACAAAACTGGCATGGTGACGTGCTCGAATGCACGAGACAGATCCAGCACCCCCGTCGCCGACACCTCCCCCTCACGCGTCCCTTCATCATGCGCCATATGGTGCCATGCTGCGTCTTCGGACCTCCCCTCTCAGGGCCCCCGAAGTAATTTTCTGTCTTTGCAGAGCGCTCCCAATAGTGAAACAGACCCACAGCTCTCATGGGGGAGGGGAGCAGGCCTATCGGACGGGTGCCACCTGCTTCCTGCGAGGGAAGGACGTATATGCTGTATCTGACCTGCTGCGGAAACTGGGCTGCGCGCGATACCAGCTGGATGAGGCAATCCTTAACTTCGTCCGAGAGCCAGGCCCAGAAGCGCGGGTGCCAGTGATCCGCTCCGATTCCGGTCCTGGCAGGACAGCTCAAACAGATGTTCGAGAACTGCTCGCGGTCCAGGTGGACCAGTGGGTGGGCAAACACGTCCGAGTCCCACGGACGGTCCCCAGGATCAACACTAGCCTGCCCATGGGACTCCCAAATCTGGAACCATGTCGGCGGCTTTTTCTGCCGCAGTTTGAGGATCAGCAAGGTCGAGGTTGGAGGAGGCGTAGCCCGTGATAGGAGGGGGAGGGGTGCGCCACTTGCTGATCCTGTGTATAAGCGAGGAGTCCGCGGTAGACTCCTTCTCCAAACGTTCTCGCCATTATTATAGCCTCTCAGAACCATGCTGCCTCTCGATGCGCTGCGCATTGGCCGCAGCCCGTCTCTGCAGCCCCATGATCTCAGGAGACTGCTCGAGCAGCACGGGCCCTTCGACTGAAGGTGCGAAATCTGGCAAACTGCACTATGACGTGCGCAGCCTCCTCGCCCAAGTCGTGCCGTATGCGTGAATCTCCTCCGTCAATGCGTCTCTCCAGCTTAGCACGGCGGGCACTCGCCCTGATCCAGGTGCCTTCCTGACGGGCCGCCTGGGCGAGACAAACAAAGCAACCGGTCCGAGCGGCGATCCACCGCCATGCTCGGGAGCTGAGTGCCCCCCTGGGTGCGGCATGCGCATGGGGGCCCGCAAGAGGGGCCCAGGTCCACCGAGGGGGGGCGCCAAGCTGCTCAATGCTTAAATCAGCTTGATGGTGGAGCTCTGGCCACTGTGCTGGATGTGGCACTGGCCCAAATGGACGCTCCATTGGGAAAGGGCGGGGCTGCGAGACTGCATACCAAGGCGTATCGGCGAGTGTAGGGAGGCAGAGGTATCCCAAACTTCGACCTCTGTGCCAAATGCGTGCTGGATGCGCGCATCCACCACGAAGAGATCGATGACGCTGCCGCCTCCCATTCCCGAGCACGTGGTGGTGGCGGGCACTCGGAGCACGCCCTGCACATCTTCACACCAACCAGTTCTCAGGAGCGACTCGCCAGACTCATTGAAATCAGCCTGCAATATCCACGAGAACGGGCAAGAACAAACGCCCTGACCGACCTGAGAGACACCCAGGCTCTCCGGGCCCGTGGAGGCCCCAGAGACGTCCGAAAGAGCCCCCGAAGGATCCCCCGAAGACCCCCCCCCCGCCCACCCGAACCTCGATCCTCGAAACACCGCGTTGGAGGCCGCTCCTCCTTCCCACCAGACTGCCGAGGGCGCTCTGAGCCAGCCCAGCGCAGACCGAAGGCCAGCCAGGGCCGCGCTGCTGGCACCGGCCAGTCACGCAAGAGCCCCCAAACCCAGGCCCGAGGAGGGATGACAGGGGAGGTCGACTCCGCCGGGCTCCCCAGCCCAGGCCAGCCAGAGGCCACTGGAGGAGATCGGCCGAGGCCCATCGGAAGCGCCGCCTCCCGCCACGTCCACCCCGACGCCAACGGGCGCTGCTGCTTGCCACGAGGCCGCCTTCTGGAGCCACCGCCTGGGGGCCACAGAGAGACCGTCCCAGGAGACCTCCCCGCTGTGGCCGGAGCAGGCAATGAGGGTCCACCTGCCACCACGAGGAGGGCCACAGAGGGGACGAAGGGGCTCTTCTGCCCACGGCGGGCCCCGGCCTCGAGCAGGCCCCCCGAGGTCCAAGCAGCGGCCCGAAAGCCAAACACCCTCCGGAGCCCGGGCGAGGCATCGGCGCCGCCGGGATGTCGGAGAGAATCGGGCTCTGGCATCGGCGATGCTGCGCGACGATCCGACCCCACCTGCCCTGGTGGCCCCAGGTGGGAGGCCTGGATTGCCACGAGGCCGTTTCCCAGGGCCAACGCTGGGGGGCCGAAACCGTTTTCCAAGGGCACCGCTGGGGGGCCGCGACCCTCTTTCGGCACGCCCGAAGTGGGCACGGAAAAAAACGACCTCGCTGCAGTAAGGCAGCTGCTGTCCAAAACCGACAGAGGCCGCTGTTGGGAAGGCGACCCCTTGTCTCAAATCGACCACACCAGAGGCGAAACCGAGGCGAGTCCTGCTGAAAATAGACAATAACTGGCGTCGGCCTTCGCCCCCCATTCTGGCCGCACCCATTCTTCGAAGCCCCAAAACCGTGTGGTGACGGACCGCATGGTGACCTCGGAATCCCCGACAACCTCACCGCGCGGTCCGTCACCACACGGTTCTGGCATCTCGGAGGCCCCGGTCGCCCGAGACGCCATCGGAGAACGATCGGGGATCTTCTGACCCGGGACAATCCAGACCCGGGTCAGCAGAAACCAAAAAACTGGAATGCAGGAAAACAAAAACTGCTACGCAGGTCTTCCCAGACCCGGGTCAGCTAATATGCGCGGCCGCCTGGCGGCCACGAGCGGCTCGCTAACCCGGGTCAACCAGAGGGGGTCTTCGCAGGATCCTGCAAGATCTGGTGCCCTGGCTGACCCCCGTTTGCATTGACCCCCGTCTCTTGAGCCCCGAAACGACCCGAGCCCCAAAACCGTCCGGTGCCCCCGAAGCGTGTGGTCACCAGAGCGTATGGGGGCCTCCAAGTTTCGATCTCAACATCTCTCGATGATCCTCACAACGTGCGTCAGCGCCAACGCGTGCTGGCCCAACGAAGCCCTGCAATACGACGCAGATGATGGAACGATGGCCGACACAGGCCGAACGGGGTAAACACACATTGGGCTAACACAAGTCCTGAGAATCCTCGAGTCGACTGCAGGGCTGCCGCCGGGGGGCCGCGCGCGCGGGCGCCGGGCAGCGCCTCCGCGGCGTCGACCGCAGCCTTCTCGCGGCCCGGCGGCGGCACGGTGTCCCTGACCCCACGCGCCCGAGGCAGAGGCGGCGGCGAGGATGCAGTCGCCATCGCCGTCGCCGTTGTCCTCGTCGCCTTCCGCCTCGTTCTCCTCACCCTCCCCGTTTGCCTGCTAATGGCAACAACCCCCAATTGGTCGATGATCGAAGACGGGCAAGCGGAAGCAGACGAATGCCCAGCAGGTTTGGGGCGGTCCCAAGGTCAAAGTGCGAATCCCACCACTACTCACACTGACCCTGCCCTCCACATAAATGTCCTGGCAATATTGGTGGCGACGGTGCAACCAATGCATTACCTGGCGTTGGTGGCGGCAAGATATGTCCGCCCCTCTGTCTGCGCAGTGATGATGGAACGTTCGTTTCTATCGCTCTTGTCCCACATCCTACCACGATGGCCGTGGTCGCCGTCGTTGTCGCGGCGGTCATCGCTGTCGTTCCGTCGTCGTCGCAGTCCTTGCCTACCTACTTATTCGTTTAGATTCCCGATTCCCAGCCAGGCACTACTCATGCACCATCTTCCTTCCGTGCCTCCATAACCCTCCTCCCTCCTCCATTTCTCTGACGGTGTTCCAGGCCATTTTCGCAACAACATGTGGCGATACGGTGCCGCCCACCGGTTGCGCGCAACCCCCAGCACAGGGCCTCATGCGCGTTGCAACCTGGCGCCCGTGATGATGCGGCGCCTGCGGATGCGGGCAGCCGCGCCGGCCACACTTTTTCCGTCGCGGCGCGGCACTTGCAATCCGCTCGCGCGTGTAGCAACACCGGGCTGCGGAGTCGCGAATATTAGCCCGCATGCAGGAAGGAAAGAAACACGACGAGAGGGCGGCCGCAGAGGAAGGGGAAGGGACGGGGGGGTACTCTCACGCGGCGTAGCCGCGGGGGAGCGCGCGGGGGCGGCCAGGCTGAAGGGCGGCCCCTGGCAACGGCGCGGGGCCACCCAGGGGCGGGGCCAGCAGCCAGCGCGGGCGAAGCCCAGCAAGCGGGGGGCGGGAGCAGCAGGCGGCCGGCGTGCCAGGGGCGCCACGCGCCCCGCGCGGGGGGGGGGGGCGGCGGCGGGGGCGCGCGGCAGCGGGGGAGCGCGGTGCGGCTGGCGCTAGGAGGCAGACCCAGGGCGCAGCAAGGCGCACGGCACAGTTGCGCGGCGCTTGGGTAGCCAGGCGGTGCAGGCCGCACAAGGGCGCTGGCCACACACGCTGTGGAGAAAACAAAACGTTCAGGTCTTTCTATGGATACATGCTGGGGGGCGCACGGTCCGGATATGTAAAAAATCGAGGCCTCCACCAAAAGCACGTTCCCTTTGATCCCTCCCCTGCCGGGGGGGGGGTCCCGGGGGGTGGTCCCAGGGGGGGTCCCAGGGGGTGTCCCGCGTCAGATACCACTCCCCCCTCTGGGGGCCCCGCGGCCCACACAAAACCTCCGACGGACTATAAGAGCCGAGGCATTTTTCTACCACGTTCCAGCCCCGGCCCTGGCCCCAGCCCAGCCCCAGCCCCAGCTCCGCTTCCGGCCCTGGCCTCGGCCTCGGCCGGTCCAGGCCCCGGCCCCGACCCGAATCACAGCCCCAGCTTCCGGCCCGCTGGCCCCGGCCCCTGACCCAGTCCCGGCCTCGTCCCCGGCCCTGGCCCCAGCCCCGGCCGGCCCCAGCCCGGCCCCGGCCCCGGCAACCTCGGCCATGGCGTCCGGGCGTGCCTTGATTGACTTCGGCAGTTTTTACGATTCTAGTTGCACCATCAGGTTGGCAGCTGAAGCCCTGGAATTGGGCTTTGCACCAGTCATTCTTCTCCTTGAATTGACGCTGTGCCTCGGGCCCAGAGTGGTCGCGCAGCTCGATTGTTTCTCGCAACCTGTCCGGCCGACGCACAGCCTTATACAAGGGACGCGCAGCGGAACAATGTTTGCCCGCTGCATGACCTGGCGTATTGGCTCATCCTACGAGGTCGCGCCCCCCACATTGGACGCGAGACTGTGGATCGACGATTTGTCCGAAAATGTCGCTGGCTCTGGTATTCTTTCCAAAAAGAAGTCGCTGCATGCAGTCGAGATGACGTCCAACCTTCTCCAACAAGAGGGCCTGCAGATGGCGCCCGAGAGCACGCTGCCACGCTCGCACCAGCAGGATGCCAAGGAGGTCGCCAGGCTACTGCGCTGGCGCGGAGTTACCATCGAGCCTACTCCACAGGCAGGATATCTCGGCATCGATTACGGAGCGGGCAGGCACGCTAGGAGCATTGCTAGGCAGAGGAGGGCGAAGGCGAGGCTCATGAGTGCGAAGATACGCCGTTTCGCCCGGGCCTCCCGTCGCCACAGGCCTGCGATGCGCCTCGAGGTTTCCCGCACGATTATGTTCCACCGCTGCTAGATAAGTTTGGGCGCGTGGTGCAGCTGCAGAACTGGCAGACAACTGTCAAGCATGTTTGCGGGTCAGGCCTCGAGGAAGGCGCCGACAATCCATCTTATCGTGCATACCTTCTTGCGCTCGAAAATACCGAACATGGGCACCAGCTTGCCAAATTAATGTTGTGCGTGGCTGTCGGGGGCACGTGGCCCGGGCAGCGGATCCGTGACGAGGTCAATCAGGATGCTGACAATCTCTGCCCCGGGTGCCAGGCCGAGCCCGAATCTGCGTTCCATCGGGCTTGGTCGCACAGGAATAATGGTGGTTCAAAGGCTTACGCCGCTTCCGACGAGCTGATCCCTCAGGCGATGAGCCAGCACGAGCCCGATGCCTGTTTCTGGTTGCGCGGCATTTTGCCTTCGAGTTGGACTAGAGTTGGAGGTGCTGCGACTGATTACAGGTGGCAAGGCAGCGGGTCTGCCCGTCATCTAGACCAGGTCGCTCTAGGCACTGGCACCGAGTCCGACCCTCTTTCTTTTTTCGGCGATGCCAGCGGGGGCGACGACTCGAGGGATGAGCGCCTCCGCCGTGTCGGCATCGGACTCGTATCGCTCACCACTCTCAACCCTTACGTGCTGGCCGCGACCATGCGCAGTCCCCTCCCTGGGTCACACCTGTCTGTCCCGCGAGGAGAGCTGGCCGCATGTCTGGCCGCCCTCAGATTCAGCTCTAGTTTGCTCGTGTATGTCACTGATAACCAAGGGGTCATGGATGGCTGGCACAAGAAGCCGTTTGCCTCCCCGGCTGGGGAGAGTGATGATCTTCGGCAGGAGATAGGTGATATAAGGCAGTCTCGTGATCTCTCCAAAGTTGTGGTTTTGAAAGACAGGTCGCACTTGTCGGGACCCGAGCTGGACAGCACTAACACGCCCATGTGGATGGCCGAAGGAAACGAGGCCGCTGATGAGCTGGCCAGTCTCGCTGCTAAAGAATGTCGTATCAGTGAATTCGAGCGAAGTCGAGTTGCGCAGGCGGAGCACAAGGCATGCCTGGTCAGGAGGAGGCCGCTCAGGGCCACACTTGATGCGGTGGCGGCGGAGAAGCGATCGCCTCATGTCAAAAAGTCGTGCCCTCCTCCGCCCTCTTCTGCCCCTCTCGCCTTCTTCGGGTCCGAACATGTGTATTCTGAAGATAACCGCAGTTGTCTCGTGTGCCGCGGCAGTGCTGCAATAGCTTCGCTGGCCGACTGGAGGAAAAGCAGTTGCATCCAGCTCGAACCTCAAGTTAATTCGAGTTTCTTGAGGCTGCCGACGGGTCACTCTGCCCACATAGGAAGTGGGTGGACACACGTGTCTCACTCAATGTTGACCACACAGGCCTTCGGATTTGGTTTGGCGGTTCGCGCGGGTCTTATGCCAGTCAGCAGCTTCGACCTACGTTGGCCCAAGTTTGCAAACCTGACCTCATCACTAAGACCAGGCAATCTTACCTGGAGAGAATTCACAAGGGTTTACTGCCCAAGTAGTCGATCTAAGCCCAAGCCCTCTCTGGCGGCGATTGATCCTGTAGATTCGCTTCGTGATAGGTCCAATCCAATACAGCACAACAATCCAATCCAATCCAATCCAATCCAATCCTCCTCTGTCCATTCCTTCTCCTTATAGAGAACTCCTCCCTGCCGCACCCCCTGGCCAGTTTTTAGGGCGGGCCGGGCGTTTCGCCTGAGACCTCCCCACCATTTATGACTCTGAAGGTTCAAAAATGACAACGGTGTTACATGGGGGCGGGTGGTTTTGAAAATGTGACTCTCGCCTAAGCGCCGCGCATATTCGTTTTGAAAATGTGCAAGACTTTCACAGATTGAGTGAGGGTGGTTTTCAAAATGTGGTTCTCGCCTTAGCGCCGCGCACGTTAGTTTAAAAAAAATGCCAGAGCTTCACGGATTGAGGGCGGGTGGCATTCAGAAAAAGGTTCTCGACTTAGCTCCGCGCACATTCGTTTCAAACATGTGCAAGAGTTTCACGGATTGAAGGCTGGTCGTTTTCAAGAATGTGGCTCTCGCCTTAGCGCCGCGCACATTCAGTTTCACGGATTGAGGGCGGGTAGTTTTCAAAAAGTGGTTCTCGCCTTAGCGCCGCGCACATTCGTTTTAAAAATGTGCCAGAAGTTAACGGATACAACGGATACCCATGGTCGACGTTCCGGAAATATGTTGACTCGCTTTGTTGAAGTCCCAAAAATGGCGTTCTGGCACGATTCTGGATCGTCAAGACGCAGCAGTCAGGTTGATACGTGGCGTTGAAGTCCCGAAAACAATGTTTTGGCACGCTTCATGGTCTTCAAACTGTTGTCTTCCAACGAGGCAGTTCCATCAATGGAAATGAACCGTGATAAAAACCCATGAAGAGGGAGCTTGGAGGGAGGGTTAATTCCAACATCGCTGATGGCTCTTCGATTACCACTGGTCCTCCTTCTCCTCCTCCTCCTCTTCCTCCGCCTCCTCCTCCTCCTCCTCCTCCTCCTCTGCATCCTCCTCCTACTCCTCCTCCTCCCCCTCCTCCTCCTCTTACCCTTCCTCCTCCTCATTCTCCTCCTCTTCTTCCTCCGCCTCC